TTATTTATATCTCTATTATAGTACATATCAAATTATAACAGCCCAGACTGGGGACTTCCTGAGAACAGGAACTTGTCATTATCCTTCTGATGAAGGGAAAGCCAATTCAGCTGGCAATTAAGATGTGAGGGGATCTGAAAAATCAAACCAAAACTGTAACTTGCAAAATGGATTATGACTCATGACACTGAAAAACTGTTTAAGCCATGACATGCAAAACAAACTAAACTCAGACTCTACACCTGCTCGTTCAGACACATGCTGTATTCAGCCATCCTTGCACTGCTTTAAAGAAACACCTGAGCCTGGGTAATTTATAAGGGAAGAGATTGAATTGGTTCATGGTTCTACAGGCTGTGCAGAAAGCATAGTGGCCTATGCCTCCTAGGAGGCCTCAGGAAGCTTCCAATCATGGTGGAAGCCAAAGGAGGAGCAGGCACATCACAGGGTGAAAACAGGAGCAAGAGAAGGGGGAGGGGCCACACGCTTTTATACAACCAGCTCTCGTGTGAACTCAGAGTAAGAGTTCACTCATCACCAAGAGGATGGCCAAAGCCATTCATGAGGGATCCACCCCCATGGTCCAAACACCTCCCACCAGGCCTCACCTCCAACACTGGGGCTTACATTTACCAAACATGAGATTTGGGTAGGGACAAGCATCCAAACTACATCACGTATGTTCTAAATAAGGCCACAGACAAACTGATCTACCTATAACGCCACACAGTCATCTGTCCTCAAGATACAAGCACTGATTGTTCTAGCAACTTCCTGGTTTACAAGTTCTGACCAATCTCTTCCAACGGCATCCTATGACTAACTTCAGCCCTGAAAACTCTATAAGATATTCTTCCCAAGCTTCCGCCTGTTGAAATGCCCACACCTCTCCATGGTGTGACTGTCTTTTACTGCAGCACAAGGTAATAAACCCAAGCTTGTTTGCCTCTGGTGCATTCCTGCCAGTGTGCTTGGTGGGCTTTCACACATTCTGGCATACCAAGGGCTTGACATGATGCCTAGCACTAAGCAGGCATTCAGTAAATTGTGTCTTAAACAAAAGGATGGACTAATAAGACTCTTTTCACAACTTATGAGTTCTGAAGAGAATTCTAAACAGACCGTTTCAAAAACATTAGGAGTCATATCTAACAGCCTTGAGAAGACTATGTATATAATTTTCCAAGCTGTAGACCTTAATGAGCTATCATCAACTGAAGCTATGTAATCAAGGATGCTGATGAAAAGCCAGTCCTGTTGCTGAGCACTTCTACACATCAAGTACAATTCCTGGCCTACAGGAAATTATAAACTAATCAAGGACACAAGGTGAATAAGCAAGTGGACATGATCTGGGTTCCTACAGTACTAAGCATTGGATCTTGCCCATAGCAGTTGCTCACAAAAAAATGTCTTCATTGGTGACTGACAGGGATTTTACTCTGTAAGTAACAAATGGCTGAGAGTTTTTAAGCAGAGGCAGATCCTGACAAATATGATCTAGGTCTAAGAAGCCTACTGTGGCAAGAGGAAGGGAACACTAAAGAGCAGGCAGACTTGTTGGAGGTCGTCTTGGTAAGTCAGGACAGAAAGAAGGTCCTTGCCTATGAAACTTACAGTGGAAAAGGAAATGTATCTATCTTTCAGAGCTAGGAGAGACAACCATGGCAACTAACTGACCTCCAGGGACTATGGCAGGCAACAGAGTTAAAGACGCATCAATGTTACAACCACAGTGATTTGGAAAATAATCCCGACACAGACAAGAATAGCTGCAAAGGAGATTATCTTTACATCAGTGCTAACCACCATTGTCACCGGCTTCAGGTTCTTAGGTTAAAGCACAAGTGAGCATGGCGTTGCATTCCCCATACCTGCTGGCTGGAACTCTTTGCACAAGTCAGATCAGTAAGAGCAAGAGAGGCCTCGGTATCTGCTTAGAATCACTAACTATGAGCAGCTTACAGATTCCAGCTACTCAAAGTCATGACACTCCTTTCACAAGGCATGATAGAGAAATCTGGCTTTTTAAGCTTTGCTTAAAATTTCAATTAAGCTCATTTAAGTTCTGAGAGTCAAAGACTCTCAAACTTTATTTAAGCCAATTAGCCACTGAAGCAAATAGCTTATGACCACTTTTGGCGTTTTAACTTAACATTTTGTGATATAAAGAGAGCAGCCAATATGACTGAGGACAAAGCCAGGCCAGACATTGTTCCAGGCTAGGGAACAAAGGAAACAGTGTAAATGAATGAACAATGTAAATACATAAATAAAATTTTTAAAGAGCATGCTTCTATTTATTTTTTTCTGAGGCCTTTCAGATGAAGGTAGCTTTGCCCAAGAATCCATCACAAAGAGGAGAAGAAATTAAATAAGACAAAAACAGCACAGCAGATAAGAGACTGAGAAGCTTTCACTGCATTGTGTTTAAAGACTTGATGCCAAGTACTTCGGAGAGGTAGTCCACCGGGAAAAGGAAAATCAAACACGAATGTCTTTTCCCAGGAATGTAATCTTCTGGGCATACCGTTTTATTGCTCACTGAAAACTCCCTCTAAAGAAAACATTTTCAGGTCGCTCCACTGAAACTGCTGCAACTGGTCTATTTTCAGCTCTGTTTCTCTGAGCCTCACAGCAGAAGTTCTTAAATGATCCTGGGACCAGGTTTGGTTAAAGTTGCCAAGAGCATTTAAGATCACTTTGTTGCTTTGCTTTTGTTTTCCAATCATCTACAACTGGGGCTGTGAGAGGCTACAGTGGATGTTTTTCCCAGAAATTGGTCTTTCTACCACTGGGTCATCTAAGTCTATTTTCATTAAATAATTTATGCACAAATAATCAACGAACAACTGGAAATGATTATTTAGTAATTTCATTTAGCTCCAACAGAAATAACTCATTAAGACAATAAGAGCATTCAGGTAATGACAGCCATTTTTAACCATGAAAATGCCATTTGGGGCAACCAGTAACAGCTGTGCGATCCCTCCAGGCCCCTTGAGGTCAAATGCAGACACAACATTCTTTTTTTTTTTTTTTTTTTCCCCTGAGATGGAGTCTCGCTCTGTTGCCCAGGCTGGAGTGCAGTGGCATGATGTTGGCTCACTGCAACCTCCACCTCCCAGGTTCCAGCAATTCTCCTGCCTCAGCCTCCTGAGTAGCTGGGATTACAGATATGTGCCACCACACCCGGCTAATTTTTGTATTTTTAGTATAGACAGGGTTTCACCATGTTGGCCAGGCCAGGCTCCACATTCTTAAAGGTCAACACCTTTCTCTCTACATACTGAGACTAAGAAAACTCAGAGGAACAGGGTCTTTATGCACTAAAACTTAAGAACAGGCTAGGAGAGTAGCAAGTCATTTTAAAACAAAACTGACTCTTTAAAAAGAAAATGGATTGATTACTTGTTAATTTAATGCATCTACTTTTCATTTCCTGAAAACCTAACGTCACAAGAAATAATTTGGGGGCCTTAATTGCAATGGGTCATTTTGCTAGTATTGCCCGTCTCTCCCCAACCCACACTTCCTCTAGCCATATTCCACCTCTCACTGTCCCAGTGTCATCTACACTGCCATGCCCCCAGCTTCTGTTGGGTTTGACGAATGGGAGGAGTGTGATGGGGTGCTGCTTTTCCTACTCTCTTCACTTCACTGCAGTGTCCCACAATGGGCATGTCCCTTCCCAGCTCTGGCTTCTTCTCAGTGGCCCTTCCACCATGATTATAACCCTCGCGAGACTCCATGATTTGCTCCTTTTGTTTCCGGGGCCCAAGGATGGTGATGGCTTCCCACTGCTGCTGGTTTTTGGGAGCCAGATCACCCTCTGTTTATCACTATAATCCTCCCCGGGGGTCTGCAATAGTCCCTTCATTAGACTCTCTTCATTCAATCCCACAGAGGAAAATTCTGTTTCCAGCCAAGACCCCAGTGTAACCACTCTTTAAAATAAAGATAAAGGTGTCCCTTTCCTGCTGAAAATGATGAGCAAACACAAAAGACCCATACCTTTGAAAAATATGCATGAGTAAAATGAACTTCCACTAGCCTTCTCTTTTAGAAAACAATGTATTTAATGTCAAACTTAATGACAAAAAATGCTAAGTATAGCTAATATTCCTCTTTTCTAACTTCTACTCCTGGTTTTAAATGTGGGGAAAAAAATCATACCCACTCACACTCACCATAAAATAAAAAACAAATAACGCCCAAGAAAGTCCAGCTCTAAAGACTAGTGATTCCACGTAAGTCCCATGGATGCGTGAATAATATGAGCTCTTTAGAAGTCATTATACAAAAAACATACTTGCACACGTTTATAGCAGCACAATTCACAATTGCAAAAATATGGAATCAGCCCAAATGCCCACCAATCAATGAGTGGATAAAGAAATTGTGATATGTGTATATATATATACACACACACATATATATATGTATAAATGTATACATATAGATGTATACTACAGAATACTACTCAGCCATTAAAAAGGAATGAACTAATGGCATTCGCAGCAACCTGGATGGAATTGGAGACCATTATCACAAGTAAAGTAACTCAGAAATGGAAAACCAAACATCATATGTTCTCACGCATAAGTGAGAGCTAAGCTATGAGGATGCAAAGGTATAAGAATGATACAATGGACTTTGGGGACTCGGGTGAAAGGGTGGGAGGGGGGTGAGGAATAAAAGACTACACGCTGGGTACAGTGTATACTGTTCGGGTGATGGATGCACCAAAATCTCAGAAATCACCATCAAAGAACTTATTCATGTAATCAAACACTACCTGTTCTCCAAAAACCTACTGAAATAAAAGCAGCTATATATATAGAAAATTTTAAAAATAAAAAATAAAAGTAGACTATTATTCTCTAAAAACAAAATAATAATATAAGCTCTTTTCCATTCAAGCTTATTCCTTTGCAATTACAAAAAAAATTGAAAAACATTTTCTGAATCTTCTTCTTTAGCTCTACATTTAGTTCAGAATTTGATTCACTATACTGCAAAAAGGGCAATCATCTCTCCTTTCAAAAACTGGAGAGTTAATAGAAAAAAAAAAAAAAAAGCACTGTTTTATCCAAACCTTACAAGGTAGTATATGTCACTCTCAAAATTCATTATCAATTCTAAGGCTGTATCTCAGATGGTACTTCTTTTCTTCAGTTTGGATATTTACTTATGTAGCTGGAAGCTATGGTTTTTCATCATATCATAAACTCACTAAAAGGATATTTGTTGAATTTGCAACTGTATAGTTTCCAAGGCTACACGTAATGTTTTTATTGGATCTCTCACTTATTAAAAAAATTAAGCAGTGGACGCCTAATAACATAGTAGCTGTAAATTAATAAACAGAGCACAAGTTTTAATCCAGGCACAATTAACTAGCCAGGCTATCTCTACTGCATTCTACTTTAAAACAATTCTGGTTCTTGTCACTTCAACTCCTCCCTGGATCTAGTCTCCACATCAATTCTCCGCCCTTCTCTCCCTCTCTATGCACAGGAACAATATGGTCCATTCCCTGCCCTCTGCTTCTTGTTGAGTTCCACCAACAGGAGGCACCAGTAGGTGATCTAAGCTAAAGGAGGTAAGTCCAGGGTCTGTCCTGCTCCACTGCTCCTTACTTCAGAGCCCGGTGGTTCTGGCAAATGCTTGTTCTCCAATGGCACATCTCTGACTACTGCTCCCGCTGGGTGGCCCCAACTCTTCTTCCCTCTTCCCAAAGTGAATCAAATCTTTTCACTCTAAATAGTTCCTGGTTGCCTTAACAACCCTTATTTCTTCACTTATTTCTGTCTACACTTCTGTAAATAGTGCTGTGTTCCATTTGTTAACTTCTCTCCAGAGTGTGCCTTATGTGTCCTACTGGATCCCCCAATGATATGGGCACAACTTGGGACAAAGAGCACAAAGCACCACTCAGGCCAGGGAAGGTCCCCCTTCTCAGCACCTGTGAGGTGTGCCCTGGCTTTGGAAGAGCAATGGTGTTCACTTCTGGTGTGTAAGAACCACCTGGAGAGCTTATTAAAAATCAGATTCAAGGAAAGACTAAAAAACTATCACAGATCCAAAGACTCTAAGGAGATACGAGAATTAAATATAATGTGATAGCCTGGATTCAACAGCAAAAGGGCAGTAGTGGAAAAATTGGTGAAATCCGAATAGTCTGTAGCTTAGTTCGTATTATTACACCAATGCTAATTTATTAATTTTGACAAGTTATTTTGGTCTATAAGAAGTTAACAGAAAAAGCTGGGTGAAGGAAATACAGGAACTCTTTGTAGTATATTTGCAACATTTATTGCAACATTTGCAATATTTCTGTAAATATAAAATTATTTCAAAATAAAGTGTTTACTAAGGGAAAAAGAAGAAGATTCTCAGGTGCCCTGAATCCAAATTTCACAGGCTGATACTTAAGTACGTGGCTTGAGGACTGAACCTTGAAAAGTACAGCTGTAAAGGACTTGGAAAATATTAGTTCTGGTAGGGCTAAGGATGGAAACAATTGTTTACTGATACTAAATTATAGCATGATTACTTGACTATTTAAAGAAAAATGCCAAATGAAGCTTTGTCAAAGTTCACCTATTCCAGTTAATTGGAATGATTCATCCCTTGACCAGTTGTTGAATTTAGTTTCATGCATAGAAACACTTGTATGTAGGTGCGGGTAATTATAGAACCAAAGAAAATGAGAGTAGAGTTCTTCTACTTCCTTCTCCCTCTGAGATTAAGGTTTGTTTGCAGTGCATGTCCACACCCTCCCCCAAACTTTAAGTTTCCAAGAAGGTACAGCCAACCAAACAGACTGAGAGTGACTTTCCTCATTGTTTTCATGGTGGGTGTTCTGTTTCTCTGAGGACACTTTGAGCTCCCCGAAGAAAGGAGCTAGATTCTCAGTTTCTTCTGTGCTTTTCTACAGCTCAGTGTCCTTCACCCAGTGCTTCTGGCAAATGGATAACCTATGCTTCCTGGTCTGTGCCCATATTTTGGCCTATTTATTGTAGATATAATTCTTCTGTTCAACATTTTGTCTGCCTTTGGCATGGGTGAGAGGTGGGATAGGCAGAGGTAAAAATGTTGACATTATTATGACTTGTTTCTTAACAATGTTAACTGAGCACCTGTTATGTGCCAGCCGTATTCTAGTCACTGAGGATCCAACGATAAATAAAAGAACCTCCACCTTCAAGGAGCTGAAAGTCAAATCAAGAAGACAGACAAGCAAGTAGACAATTCCCATACAATCTGTGAGCTCTCCGTTCCCATCCTCATACTTGGCCCATCATGAATGAGCAACCCTTAGGGACAGGAACAGGTTCTAGTTCCAGGTCTGCTCCTAGTAAGAACTGATTTTAAAAGAGGCACAAACTCTAAAATAATTAAGAATGTACCACTACAAAATATGCTGCTCTGGCATATTATCTATTCTGAATGAAAGGCCGTTAGGGAAAAAAAAAAAAAAAAAAAGCAGCACGTGCAAGATCACTCTGACCTTCCGTTTCTTAAAAGTAGGAGATAAAATTTCCATGTGGAAAAATGTCCTCCCTGTACCAGAAGGAAAGCAACATTCTTAATATCAAGGAAAAAAAGTTGAGGCCGAGAAAAATCTGTACAAACAAACCTTGATAAACTCACCCGTATTTTCCTAGTAGTTTCTTTACCCAATTAACTACCCTAGACCAAGCCCCTTTGCCTTGACACCGCTTCACAATTTACTACTCTTTGTGCAATTCAATGTAGAAGAAACGGATTCTAACTGCTTCTTTGGGTCTTCATTTCCTTCTAAGGGCCCCCATGCCACATAAAACTTGCATTAAATAAATTTGGGGTTTTCCCGTTTATCTTAAGACCCAGGCCCAGCCACCACCCCTCTCCCCACACACACACACACACACACACACACAAATCCTAAAAGGGAAGAGGAAAAGTTTTGCCTCTCTTACACCTTCAATCCCCTAATTTAAAAAAAAAAAAAAAAAAAAAAGTGAAGGGGGTAATTTTAAAAAATATCTGTCTCTCTGCCTCAGGGCGCTGTTACTCCATTGTGGGTCAAATAACAACGGATATAAAAGTGTTTTGAATACTGCCAAGGGTTATAGAAATGTCAAGCAATAGAAGTTAACTAGAAATGACAAGCAATAGAAATTAACGACTTAGACAGTCCCGGCCTACTAACTCTAAGGCAAAAAGCTGGTGGTCCAATGACTTTTCTATTAAGCACAAATTTCACACAGTAAGATTGTATGAAAAGCAGTCCTTTCAAAGATTTAAGCTCTGTTGCTTTAGAGTTAGCAATTAATGAAAATTAGATTAACATCAAAGAACTGTGTCAGAAGGGGAGAGGTTGCCTGCGCAGAAAGGCAAAAATTGTGTGACTGCTCCTCCTCCTCGCGTTTCTCCTACTGCCCTAGTGCCGCCTTGGCCATGAGGGAGATCGTGCTCACGCAAACCAGACAGTGCGGGAACCAGATCGGTGCAAATTCTGGAAGGTGATCTCTGATGAACATGGCATCGACTCTGCTGGAGCCTAACATGGGGACAGTGACCTGCAGCTGGAGCGCATCAATGTGTACTGCAACGAGGCCAGTGGTGGCAGGTATATGGCCCGTGCTGTGCTCATGGATCTGGAGCCAGACACCATGGACTCCGTGCACTCAGGGCCCTTTCAGCAGATCTTCAGACCAGACAACTTCATCTTTGGTCAGTGTGGGGCCGGGAACAACTGGGCCAAGGGGTACTACATAGAAGGCGCGGAGCTGATGGAGTCAGTGGTTTCCAGCTGACCCACTCCCTGGGTGGGTGAACTGGGTCTGGGATGGGTACCATTCTCATGGGCAAAATTTGGGAGGAGTATCCAGACAGGATCATAAACACATTCAGCATCCCGCCCTCGCCCAAGGTGTCAGACACCATGGTGGAGCCCTACAATGCCACCCGCTCCGTCCACCAGCTCATAGAAAATGCAGACGAGATGTTCTGCATCAATAATGAAGCACTCCATAACATCTGTTCCAGAACCTTAAAACCGACCACACCCACCTACGGTGACCTGAATCACCCGGTGTCTGCTGCCATGAGTGGGGTCACCATGTGCCTGTGCTTCCCGGCCCAGCTGAATGGGAAGCTGGCTGTGAACATGGTTCCATTTCCCTGGCTGCACTTCTTCATGCCTAGCTTTACCCCGCTGACCAGCCAGGGCAGCCAGCAGTACCGGGCCCTGACCGTGGCTGGGTTCACCCAACAGCTGTTTGATGCTAAGAATATGATGGCCACCTATGACCCCTGTCATGGCCGCTACCTAAGGTGGCTGCCATTTTCAGAGGTCCCATGTCCATGAGGGAGGTGAATGAGCGAATGCTCAATATCCAGAACAAGAACAGCAGCTACTTTGCAGAGTGGCTCCCTCACGACATGAAAACAGCCGTCTGTGACACCCCACCCCGGGGGCTAAAAATGTCGGCCACCTACATCGGTAACAACACAGCCATCCAGGAGCTCTTCAAACAGTCTCCGAACAGTTACAGCCATGGTCAGGGGCAAGGCCTTCCTGCACTTGTACACGGGCGAGGGCACGGATGAGATGGAGTTCACCGAGGCTGAGGGCAACCTTAATGACCTGGTATTGGAATACCAGCAATACCAAGACTCCATAACCGAGGAGGAGGTGGTAGCCTAGAAGCTTCCTTTTCTAGGTAAAGGGGGGAAGCAGTGTGGATTCTTTAATGTGTTCTGATAGCCATTGTCACTATACACTTCTTTGAGTCTTTACATCTTCTCCTACTGCATTTTAAAGCATTTTTATAGTAAGTAGTTTGGCCTAATAAAACATTTTTATAAAAAAAAAAAAAAAAAGTGTGTGGAATCTCCAGTAAAGATGAACCTGACTGGGAATCTCTTATTTTTCTGGCTAGGCTTACACCTCGCATGTGTCACAACGTTAACAGCGTAGTTGTTTATATATTTGACCCACCAGTTAAAGAACCTCCTACAGATATTACTCCCACTTTCTTGACAACAGGTGTGCTCAGTACTTTACGCCAAGCTGATTTTGAGGCCCATAACATTCTCAGGGAGTCTGGGTACGCTGGGAAAATCAGCCAGATGCCGGGGATTTTGACACTATTACATTTTGATCAGGACCCACTTCAAAAGCAGCCTTCATGCCAAAGATCTGTGGTTATTCAAACCTTTATTGCTAGTGACTTCATGACTGGTATACCTCCAGCACCTGGCAATGAGATCCCTGTAGAGGTGGTGTTAAAGATGGTCACTGAAATTAAGAAGATTCCTGGTATTTCTCGAATTATATATGACTTAACATCAAAGCCCCACGAATTACTGAGTGGGAGTAATAAACTTCTTGTTCTATTAAAAAATAGAATTAAAAAAATTTTTTGATGACAAAGATTCTTTATTATATGGAGATCCTATTATCTGATCATATTACCTAATAAATTATATATAAATGTTAACTAATAAAAATCATGTTCACCAATACGCCACATGCATGTAGTGTTTTATTCTTTGAAGACGGCTTCTGAAACGTTGTACTAAGTCAAACTGAAAGGTAAAGTTCAAAATGGTTTTTAAAGAGTAAAACATGGTTTTTTTTAGTTATATGAGTTTTATTTTTGCAAATATAGTGAGTGACAGATGGCAATTACAGGAGGCTATTTGAACGAAGGTTGATATGAGCCTTAACAATTTCACCTAGATAAAATATTGATGTCATAACCAAACCATATGGCCCCATTTCATAAAGGGTACTATATTCTATAGACAGTGAAGAGGAGGCCTTTCTACCCCAGCTTACCCTATTCTTGTTATTGTTCAATTTCTACTGAAGCTTGTATAACTAGCTGCCAAAAGGTAAATGCTATTGCCTAGCAGAAGACTGCAATTCTGTTCATACTAGAACCAGCAGGGGGAACTTGACATTAAAAATCTAGGACCAGAATCTAAGGACAGGTCTCTTTAGAAAACTGAGTTGTACAGGGACTTAAGCAAAAACCATCCCAAAGAATTTGAGCTTTAAGGTGATAACATCTTTTCAGAGATCGTAGCACATGAAGAACCCTGGACACGACATAGAATATCAACAGTTAGCAGAAAAAGGTCTTGTGACTAAAGTAGAGAAGACAACAACAACAAAAATTACAAAAGGAAAAAAAGTTCAGAATACAGGAATATTTACAAGATGTTAAAAATTACTAATCTTCAGCCAAAATGAGGCCCCTTCGCACTCCCAGAAGCTTTGCTTTCTTCTCCTTTCATTCTTGCTCACATTTTTTCTGTTGCTCTTCCTTTGTCTGGAGACGGGGTTGTTTGTAAGTTTCCTTGTGGAAGTTAATTCTGTTGACATGTCCATTCAGATCATTATTTTCTTTAGATTGCCCCCATGGTTTTAGCTTTCCTTTGTGTGGTTCATAGTTGAGGGGACGAGACAAACTTCCTTTAAGATCAAACACTGGTCTCTTATTCGAGAATGAAGTCTGCATTGCCTCAGTTGTCAACTTGAATGGGGTAATAACAGCAGCAGAATTCCTCTTGTTGGTCTTTAATTTGTGTCCCGAGCATAGCCTCGCCTTTTGGGGTATTTCCAGACATGGTCACATGTGCAGACCTTCTGGCTGGAGTCTTGGTCAGTGAACACTTATGCTCATTATCTTTAGTAGCAGCTGAAAACCTGACACCTGTTTCAGCTGCAGAGATAGCAGAGCACTTGAGTGACCCCTTCAGACCCAAAGTACTCTGACTTGCAGGGCTATAAGACTGGCCTTGCGAGCGTCATTGGCTGATGGGAGTAGAAGCCACAGAGAGTCTTCCTTTTGGAGGTACTGGAGTCATGACTCCTCCCTTATTGATGGGCTGCTGCTTCAGTTCACCGATGGAATTGTGTTCTTCAAAATGTTTCTTTTCCCTCTTAATATATTGATCAATGGACTCTATTTCCTTAAAATGAGCTTCATGAAGCTTCTTAAAGTTTGGAGTGGTGATTGCAGTTCTTTTATTTTTTCCAGGTTTGGATAACTCATCTGTGTAGAGATATTTCTTTCTTTCTGAAGGTATCTTTGAATCTTTGTTGCCATTTATTCCACATTTTCCTGAGGAAATAGCATTCTCAGCTCCTTGGTGCTCATCTGGAGAAGAAACTTTTGCAGTAGCTCTGAGATCCTGGCTTTCCTGCTTTTCATGATTCTGGAATTCAGTGGGATGACCTATTTTTATCTCTGAATGATCCTGCTGGGAGTCAGGGTCCACACGGACAGTCTTGTGCCTTCTCCTTGTTTTGGTGGCATGGCCAATTGGCTCTCTCTCGGCTTCTTCCTGACTGCTGATCTGTATCTCAGTCTCATCACAAGAGGATGCGGAAGTTTGACTTTCATCCTGATTCTCATTTCCTTTTCTTGCCTCACGATTAATGTGGCCTTTCAAGGCTTTTAACAACTTGTCTGCCCTCAGGTTGGCCCAGAGACCCAGACTCTTGGCTAAGTTCTGCAGGTCTCTCTACTTGAGGGAGTCCAGCTCCTCTAGGGAGGGGACGACCATCGCGATTAGAAATTCCGGCAATACTCAGAGAAGATGGACCACCCTACTCCAGTAGCAGGGCTCAAATCCCTGGTGCCACCTAATTCCCTAATCAAAAAAAAAAAAAAAAAAGTGAAGAGGGGTAATTTTAAAAAATATCTGTCTCTGCCTCACGGTGTTGTTACTCCATTGTGGCTCAAATAACAATGGATATAAAAGTGTTTTGAATACTGCCAAGTGTTACAGAAATGTCAAGCAATAGAAATTAACGACTTAGTCCCTGCCTACTAACTCTAAGGCAAAAAGCTGGTGGTCCAATGACCTTTCTGTTAAGCACAAATTTCACACAATAAGATTGTATGAAAAGCAGTCCTTTCAAAGATTTAAGCTCTGTTGCTTTAGAGTTAGCAATTAATGAAAATTAGATTAACATCAAAGTACTGTGTCAGAAAGGGAGAGGTTGCCTGCGCAGAAAGTGGATCTGCCGTTTTATTCAGGGTAGACCTGTTTTTGCTTCAGTCTCCCTGAATAAGGGTAGTTAGACTCTCCTCTGAGATTTGAAGGGATTTCTTAGCTGGGGTCCTTCATATTTTTATTTTACTTGAAAAGAAGCTTCCAGGTCAGAGATGAAAGAAAAGCTGCTCCAAGTCAGTGCTGGAGCATAAAAACTGGTAAGCAGTTTTCAGCAAATAGCTCATAGAAGATTATGCTTGAGAGAAGTTTTGAAGATCAGATTTGCTGTTTCAGATAAATACAGTTTTTATTCTCAGCCTGCAAGGTAGAAACTGTTCTATTGAAGCAGTTTACCATCTTTCTGTCCAGAAAAATCGATAAGCTTCTAAAGGTTCTCTTTAGATGCCATGGTAACCACATGATTCAGGTCAAGTCTTTCATGTCTGGGATACAGCTTAAAGAATTTTAAAATGCTACCTGAGGAAAAAAAAAGCTCTTATAATAGGCACTGCTGGTATGTTTAAGCTGGACATGAGACACATTCCCTTCAAAAGCACAATTGTAAGGCTCCACTGTGTCCGACGGTACTGGGCAGCACTTGGGTAGCCAACATGAATGTAAGACACTATATCAAGGGACCTACTGTGGGTGTTGTGGAGTCCTGATGAGGTAAGTAAGCAACGATGAGGAAGGGACCCCACGTTGCGGAGGGCTCCACTATGAGGAGAGCAATGACCAATTGTTCTGAGATATAGCTAATCACAAACATGTAGCCCCCCCCCAGCAAGATGCTACAAAACTTCCCTCCAACCTCTGCCTCTTTGTAGACATTCCCTTCTCTGTATGCTGCCTATTGCATCCTTGCGATATATTTTCATACTTTCTCTAATAAATCTGCCTCTTTTTTTTTGGTTTTACCTACAACCGTCTTGGTAAATTCCTTTACCACCCTTGCCACTGGCCCCAAATAGTTGCTACCTCCAACAGGTGTGGCGCCCAGGGACCAACAATTATACAATATCCAAGAATACAGAGTAATTATGACATCATAAAGTCTGAGCTTTTTAAATTTAGCTTTTTAATCCAAATTTTATTCTCTAGTTTTTGCTGTGACTTCAACTGTAAAAGTCTTTCACGAGGATTATATTGGTTAAATATAAACTTGAGAATCAGCTGAGTGTTGAGCAAGGGAACAGTAGCAGGATCAGAAAGTTTAAATTGTTTATGGGGCCTTCAAATGCACTTAGCCTGAAAACCCAGGAAGAGTAAAAGGAGAGCTGTCAGCCCATGGGAAGGAAGAGAAACTTTGGCTTTGCTGGTAAGGCAAATTACTTCCAGCATGTGGGTCTCTCTGAAATCCCCTGGAGATAATAATTTCCCTTTACTTGAAAGTAATGAACAATTATCAGGTGATGGGGACTTCTTCTTCGTCATCATTGTGTATGTGGGTGTGTTTATACCACATAAGATTGCATCAGGAGACACTTTGGAGGTCACCATACACACAAACAAATGAGCATCTTAATCATTTCTATGTATGTACAAGAAAGTTGATAATTTCAACCAAATGATCTTCACAGATCCCATGAATGAGCCGTGAATTTTTCTTCAGGAAAAAATACACAAGAGAAATGTCATGTCTGGTCCCTTTTTTACCATGTGTTTGAGAAGGCAAAGACAGACCCACAGGAAACATGGACAAGAGACATTGTTTGATCTCTCTTGACCTTTTCCCACCCTCCATTTCTTTCTTGACCTTATGGAGTCCCCTTCAGCTTCTACCTATCCACCATATGCATTAACCACTTTCTCTGTCTTTATGTTCAATCCCTACTCTGCTGACACAAGCACAGATACACCTTGGTATTCCTTCTTTCTGTGCCCAATCTGAGAACCTTATGAACTCTCCATAGATCCTCAATATTCTTATCCTCTTATCTTTTCAAACCTGGATCCATCCTGCATTCTTTACTCTCTGTTCCAACATTGATAACTCCAAGAGAAAAGCTACACAACCTTACAGATCCCTTCAAGGAAGTCATGAGTTCTCATTTAAGAATGTTAACTTCAAAAAAAAAAAAAAAAAAAAGAATGTTAACTTCTCAGTCAGGATGTAAGTTTCTTGAGGACAAAAACTGTGTCTCACACTTCTTTGTTAAGCCCAAGAGTACCCCCTGAAGGCTCAATATATTTTTGATGCAATTAATTAATACCAGAAATAAGGAACTAGGCCGGGTGCAGTGGCTCACGCCTGTAATCCCAGCACTTTGGGAGGCCGAGGCGGGTGGATCACGAGGTCAACAGATCGAGACCATCCTGGTCAACATGGTGAAACCCCGTCTCTACTAAAAATACAAAAAATTAGCTGGGCATGGTGGCGCGTGCCTGTAATCCC